TTGCTACCACATTGATGCTCACCTATTGTGAAAAGACTGATTAAAAACGTATACTATCTTTCGCATCGCATTACTTGCTTTTCACTCTGTTCAACAGTCATTAGAAATCTTGGAATTGTGAATTAGAATTTACATCTGTGAGCCATCTGATCCTTTCCGCTACGTAACTAAAGTCTATAGGTTATGATTATCCAACTTACTCTCTTTCTCAACTAGTAATTGGTGCTTAGCTTAGAATTTTTTCATGCTGAAACAAAACAGTCCTCATTTGGTTAATTTCGTTGCCTATACCAGAGCTCTTCTTAGCCGTCAAAATGACGTTGCTCACCCAACACTACGAGGAAATGAGGGGTTGGATTTTGTCGGACTTATTTTTTTTGTTTGATTTATTTCATTAATCTTTATCCGTTTTATAAAAAAAGTTACAATAACAAGAAGCAAATAACAATAACAATCAAGAAGCTACTATCTGAATTGACAAATAACAATACCTATCAACAAGCAACTACGATTACAGTCAAGAAACTACAATTTCAATCCATAAAAATACAATTTACATCAACAATATACAATCTCTATACAAAAAATCAAATACCTATCAAGAAATAACAAGTTCAATAATAAAAAAAATAAAAATTTGAGCAATGTCAAAATTAATGTCAGCATCCCATGGCGAAAAAATGCCCTCCAAATTAACATTCATATAATCATAGTGAGCAAAAGTACGATAAAAATTTTGAAAATAACATTCATTAAGCCGTTCATTAAGTTCTTCATCGGAATCTTTTGCATCATCCTTAACTTAATCAGATTTATTATTATTATTCTTTTCCTTATCTTCATCCAAATTATTAACAATAGTTACATTAACAATGCAACTACCATTCAATGGAATATTCAAAACAAGGTTTTTATCAACAGCATTATCATTTTTATTGTTATACACATTATACACATAAAGAAGTTCATCTAAGTTATTGATAATTTTTGTTGTAACATTGTTGTGGGTTGTACAAAGATTGTTGTTATTATTGTTTTTTTGTTGTTGCTTTCGATATTATCTATATCTATCATTTCCATATCGTCATCTTCAATCACAATAACATCATCACCGGATATTGGTCGCCGGCGAAGACGAGCACGATATGATTAAACACAATAAAAAATATTATAGATTAGTAAAAAGATTTCTGGTTCAGTGAAGTTCAAGAAACTTTTTTGAACAGAGAGACATCATTGTCGACGTGATTCGAAAATTTCGCATTGACAGTGAGACCCAAAGATCCACAAAGAGTTGGCGTACTTCACAAAACCAAATATTCAAAGAAGGCAAGAAAATATTACTCACTTCAGTACGAATTTGAAGCGTAACATGAAGAGTCATATTAGTTGTATCTTTGATATAATTCTAAACAAAAGAAACTCCTATATGAATGCATTAGAGTGCAACGCGTACTCATTTTGAATCGTTCTTCTTCATGGTGGCTTTCAATCATTTTTGAAGCCCACATTTTAAGTTGATTCTTTGGTAAGGACACAACAAACGAAAAATAATCAATATATATATTTATTTATTTAACTAGAACAGAAAGAAAATCAATGTCAGTATATGAAAAGCTATCCGAATATTGTATCCTAAAATCAAGTTCACTAAAAGAAAATCCTCTAATTCATTAAAACCCAAATAACAACAATCACTCATTTCAACAACAACAGCAAAAATACGAAAGGGTGGGTGTGGAGTGTGTGTGTGGGTTTCCATTCAGAAAACACTCACACCCGCACCCACCCTAGTTTTTAGGGTCAAGGAAAGGTTTTTTTGAGAAAGTGACGATATTTTATAAAGGTTGGCGAAATAAATCGAGATCGAGGAATCTGAATCTAAGCTCAGCTGTTCAAAAACTCACATTTTTATTTGCATGAAAAAAACCATACCTTTCTCTCTACATTATTGTCTAAGGAAAAGGCCAATTTTTATGAGAAAAGGACATTTGAATAAAAGGGAAATTCGAAATACGGAAAATCTTTCTGCGTATTCCGAGTCTGTGTTTGCTGTTTAATTGCGATAGTCTCTTCACAGTACCCTTGTAGGCATGAATCGAAGCGTGACCTTATGGAATGAGTGTTTCAGTAAGTCGTAGTGTGATGAAATACCGTTTACACACCACTGGCACTCTGTCTGATGTGTGCGACATTCAGGGATTTCTGTTTACTCATAGGGTATGGTCAGCTAACAGTCCCTTCACACGTAAAGGTTGAAAGTCAAAAGATTGGAAAACTAAATATATTATTTGAACGAGTATATGTAATAGTATATAAAACAGATGTCGTTAGCTACTCGACATTTAACTATTCGTTGAAACTGACATCGAATGTTCAAACGTTAAAACTTCTCAAAAAAAAATTACATTTGATTATGTCGATATAATGTAAATAAAAAAAATAACTAAATAAGTATTTTAAAACTAATTCGATATCGTGCAACAGCTAACAATTTACTCTTTCAGAATAGAACTGATACCACATATTCGAATGGTTTAGAAGCAAGATAATGTGTTCGAAAAACCATCGATATTTTCATTGAAATTCCGTAACAAATAGGCTTATTTTGGTTTTTTTCTCTATGATGCTACAAATGAATTTGACGAATTCATATGCTTAGACGAATCGTTCAAAGAGTTATCAAATGAACTACTTTTCTTCAGATTTTGCTTTAATTTTTATGAACTTTCTCAAAAAATACTTCGTTACGAAATTTCACCAAATGGAAATAACTTTACAAAATTGAGAATATATTTTGATATTTTTTTTAATAATTGAAGCAAAAGTTCACCTTTTAGCTATTGTTCAAATAATTTTATTATTTATTATTTTTCTTATCGTTACCTAATGGCTTGTTTCATTTTTACAGTCAGTCAGATTTTTCAACTTCCAGATAAAATATTTTCTATTTTCATTGAAAAAATCTAATACTTGTCAGTGAATAGCTCTTTCTGGTACAGAAAGAGCTCGACGATGTTGAGAAAAAAAGAAAGCTGCAGGTCTCACTCAATTAATGAAACAACAAGATCATATACGTAAACAACATGTTTACAATATATTGTTTTACGTTTGAAATCTTTAATGCCATCTTTAGAAGAAATAATGATATTTAGCGATGGTAGTTCTTATCAATTCAAGAATCGATATACAATTAAATATTTAACTATATTGGCTAGTGAATTTAATCTTTTGTTGTCATGGCAAAGGTAAGTATTATTAAATTAGAGAATCAAAAATGTTACCCCTGAGTAAGATAAGACTTGTTAGCAATTATTTTTCTAATCTGCCTCGTCGCGAGTCATATTAAGACACACTAATAAAATTCACTCAATTTTTTCATGAGCTATTTCGGTGCTGTGGATGGGATAGGCCGGATCGTGAAAAGAATGGTCTATCAAGATGTTATGGCCGGAAAAAAAATGCCAAGATACACATGATTTCGTGCGTTTGATTACGAACAAAAATACATCCATAATTATTCATGAAATACTAGAAAATGAAATTGAAGATGTTGAAAAAAAGCTCACACCATTATTTATGGGAACGACACCAATTCCAGGAATACAAAAGATACATTCAATAACTGTTATTGATGCTAGTAAAATTGAATGCAAAATTTATTCATGTAGTTCAAAAAAAAAAATAGTACATTTTTGATAAACATTGTTTAGACTATATACGTTTTTGTTTTTATTCACTTGAAAAAAATTTTATGTGAACTTCGATTTTATATAGTAGTAAAAGCTAAATGAAACAGAATAGGTGATATACATGTTTCAACAGATTACAAATTAGAATATAATTATATAAATTTCATAATACGTAGAATTTTTGAGCTATAGAACTTTCATATCGAAACACCGAAAAAAAAAGGATGAAATTCCGTAACAAGTGATATTTTTTTAATTTTTATTTAATGCTTACTTCCTGATCTCAAAATAGGGTCATATTCTGAAAGTTCATGAACGATTGCACAACAATCCTATTGAGTGTTTCTCTACATGTTGTCTACTTTCGTTGCAAAATAGAAAGTTCTAAGTGCCTCTGAAAATAAAATTTCATTTTTTGAAATTTCATAACGGCTGGTATTTTTATTGTAACTTTGCTGAAGTTCAAAAGAAATAAAAATAAATTATGGTGATGATAACTCATAAGAGTCGCTACTAGTGGTAGAAATTTCGAAGCATTTGCTTTAACTGCTACGGAGAAATAGATTATGGAAGATTAAAAATTGAAATTCCGTAGCAATTGGCCAACACCCATAGTAGTTCCCGAGTCAAATGGTTTTTTTTTGGCTGCACTCGGCTTAAGTCGAGAAAAGTAGCATTAAAAGCGTCTTGTAGGTGAAGTTACAGCCTGTAGAATAAATGCAGAATAACCAATGATTGTTTTAATCTATTCCAACAATGCAACAAGGGACTATGAGGGTGTGGGATGGGCGTGGTTATGTGGGGTATGGGCGTGGGTTTTCTTTTCACCCACACCCCACACCCGCACCCTCACCGATAAAGTTGTATATTGTCGACATCTGCCAGTTGTTGTATCGAAATAATAGATCATGGATGACATATACACTATAACGGATATGTTCTCGATTCAATTCAGTATGTCACTCGATATAAAATAACACCAGCTATTTCTGTTCTACTCTGCTCTTTACTGATACAAAAACGATATAGAAAGAATGATATTATGATATTCATAATGAGACAATTCAACAAATGAATCGAATTTATTTAGTTTATTATTGGATTCTCTTGTATTATCACAATACCTGTAATTGTCTGAGTCTTTGTGAAGTTCAGAAATGTTTAATTCAAAGCGATGCATTCTTATAAGACGGAAAAACTAGAAAGAAAATATTATTTTTGATTATGTTGAAGATATAATGAAGAAATTTGATCGTTCAAGTAAATTGATATTCGTATACGAAATTATACAAGAAAAATATCTGTTTCTTATGGTTGATATATCTCTGAAGTACTCAAAGTAACACCACTACTGGATAATCCACCAGCAACTAATACCTTTCCATTTGTTAATAGAGATGCTGTATGTTGTGTGCGAGTGTCATTCATACTCGTAATAAGTGTCCATATTCCTGTTGAAGCATCATAAATCTCAGCAGTATTCGAAGAAGCACTATTACATCCACCAGTAACTAAAACTCTTCCATCTGTTAAAACAGTTGCTGTATGATAGCTTCGTGCATGATTCATTTGTCCGGTCGCTGTCCATGCTCTTGTTGATGGATTGTACAATTCGGTACTATCTAAACAGGTACCTCCACCAGTATCACTGCCAATAGCTAACACTTGTCCCGATGTTAAGAGAACGACAGCGTAATTACGTCGAGCGACATTCATATTTCCAGTAGCTGTCCACATTCTCGTCGACAGATCATAGGATTCAGCATAACTGAGGAAACTAACAGCATCATCTCCAGCAGCTACTAAGAATGTTCCATCTGTCAAGATCGATGATCTGTATGAAGATCGATAATTGATCATATTCGTAGCGGCTGTCCATACACCTGTTGTTGGATCATACAACTCAGCTTGATTATAATAAGCAAAACTCCATCCACCGGCAATGATCACCGTTCCATTTGAGAATGCACATGCTTTATGATCGATTCGAGGATTCGACATATTTCCAGTAAGAATCCACGTTTTTGTTGATGGATCATACAACTCAGCAGTGCTTGTATGACCATTAGTAGTTTGTCCACCAGTAACTAATACTTTTCCATTCGGTAATACGGATGCTGTATGAGAACTTCGAGCAATATTCATACTTCCAGTAACTGTCCATAGGCCAATTGATGGATCATATAACTCAACACTACTTAAAACACTCGAGCTATCTTGTCCACCAACAATCAGGACTGTTCCATCGGCTAAAGCCGAAGCTGTGTGTCTATATCTTGCATAGTTTATATTATTCGTGTTCGACCATCCTATGAACATATATTCGTTGTATTCAGTGTAAGAAAAAAAGGCGGCATAGATGATTTACCTGGAAGCACTGTTGTTGTCGTTGAACTTGTCACTGTAGTTGTACTTGTCGTTTCTATCGTTTGAATTGTGCCGACCAAGGCGACTATCATTGCAGCGATGCCTGCAGCAAGGAGAAGAAGAGCAACAAGACTCAGAAGTAAACAGACAGGTGAACAATAACGCCAAATGTATTTACAACAGCTAAATGAAATATTTGTAAAATTTTAATAAGAAAAAAATCTTTACGGTTTCCGTTTCTTTTTCTTCTTCGATGATTTCTGATGCATGTCCTGAAGTTGCTCTTTATTTGGCCAGGAATTGCTGGTAGTAGTTGTCTGAAGTCATTTGAAAAGGTGA